AGGCCATCACTCGATCAGCGATCATTCATTCCTAGGCAGAATTGCACTTGGAACATGATCTCTCAGTATGAAGATACGAATGAAATCATGTCAACTGACCGTATAAAGGTCTGGTGAATGTGACTGCACGTTCTTTCAAGCTGTGTGTGTATGTGAGAGAGAGAGAGAGAGAGAGAGAGAGAGAGAGAGAGAGAGAGAGAGAGAGAGAGAGAGAGAGAGAGAGAGAGAGAGAGAGAGAGAGAGAGAGAGAGAGAGAGAGAGAGAGAGAGAGAGAGAGAGAGAGAGAGAGAACAAACTTAAGAGAAGAGTCGTCACACTAATATGCCACTTGATGAGAAAGAAAACGTTAAATTCCACAAAGTCTATTATCTAGCGACATATGCTGGTCGACAAGAGCGCACTAGCACACACATACGTTCCAGCCTGGCCGTAAAAACTATAAATAAACGTACGTTCCTTATAATCCTCATGTGCGCTAAATTATGAACCCGGGCACACTCTTAAACGCCAAGCCTGAACGTACTAATGTTATATGTCTGTGATATGACCACAAACTATGGGCGGGGAAACACATTCACACTATATTCGCTGCAGAGGACGAAGATACGGATACAATCTATTTTCGCTTCAAACCATCGCATTCCGGCGAGAAATTAAAAACTTCACGATGGTTGAAATCTCAGTACTGATAGAGACACAGGGATCAGGAAGGACTTATTCACTCGATCAAAATAACTTCTGAGTCCTGTGTGTGTGTGGGACAGTGGTGAGTGAATGTTCATTTGGTGCTGAGTGGTGAGTGACAGCTGGCCCGTGAGTGGTGAGTGACAGCTGGCCCGTGAGTGGTGAGTGACAGCTGCCGCCCTCCTCGTAGCGGTGGGCTATCAACGTTTTTGACCATAAAGAACTCACCACCACAGACAGCCGACTTTCTCCCTTGTGCGGCCCCCCTGCTACTCACCCATTACCGGGAGCGGCGCACCGCACAGCGCCGCTCGTAACTGCTTCACCGCACCACCCTCTACCTCACCACGTTGCTCACCGCACACCACCGCTTGTACCTGGATCGCTGTACCGCTCGTACCTGGGGTAACCGCGCTACACCACTGGTACCCGATTTCTTGCACCGCGCCGCTCGTACCTGAGTTACTGTACTCCTTGTACCATACTGATTGTTCCGTTCCTCTACTGCATCCCCACCCGAATGGTACTTGGAGCACCACGTGACCGGTGTGTTCCACACACTGTTGCAGTGTTCCACACACTGTTGCAGTGTTCCACACACTGTTGCAGTGTTCCACACACTGTTGCAGTGTTCCACACACTGTTGCAGTGTTCCACACACTGTTGCAGTGTTCCACACACTGTTGCAGTGTTCCCTAGTGTTCCACATACCAGAAAAAATCACTGGCTTTGTGTGAGAAAGAGAAAGAGAACGAGAGAGAAAGAGAACGATAGAACGAGAGAGAGAGAAAGAGAGAGAGAGAGAGAGCTGACAGGGGAACTATCAAGGGAATGAAGTCACTCAACAAAGCCAGTAAATAAAGTAAAAACAATAACCGACAATATATATTGAACACAAAACACACAAACAAAAGACAATTTGGAATGGAGAGATACACACTAATTATTACTTTTGAGAAAACATAACGTATTTAACACATATTTACTTCCTAATGACTTGGTTAGAGTGCGATGGCGTGTGCGTGTGCGGCCCCTTGCGTGCATCCCGTCTCCACAACAGATGGCATGACTCCCTGGAGTCTTCCAGTCGCCGGACGCGACCTGGACTCTTCCAGACTGTTGTCACAGACCTGGACTCTTCCAGACTGTTGTCACAGACCCGGCTCTTCCAGATTGTTGTCACAGACCTGGACTCTTCCAGACTGTTGTCACAGACCTGGACTCTTCCAGACTGTTGTCACAGACCCGGCTCTTCCAGACTGTTGTCACAGACCTGGAATATATACGTATATTTACAACCAATCCACAGATCCTTTAGAATATGTGGTACAGCCATCCATGCCACCCTCGTCCCATTCAGAGCTTCAGTTCAACACAAGGCCAGCTCTAAGGGATGGGGTGAGGATAGTAGGATGAAAGAAGGGGGGGGGGGTAGGGCTGAAGGTGGATGGCTGGATTGAGTGAAGGACCCAGAGAGATATTTCAGGTCAACATCACCGCTGTAACAATGTCAACCCTCCATAATCATAGTTTGAAGAGTACAATTGTGGTCAGAGTGGAGGCCCGCGGCAGCCTGGGTTCGAATCCAGAGGAGTAACAAAGTTTAAATGCAAATCTTTAGGAGAATTAATAGCGGAGATGGCCATACATTAATTACTGTTAATACCTCCCTTATATGAGGTATTGTTTTACCTGAACATTGCTGGTGATGCAATATTCACACTGACCCAGGGAAGGTGAGGGCGGAGTGGGGAGGGAGGAACAATGCTCGGAACAGAGACTTAGGAATGAGCAGATTGTTTGAAGGATTTCAGCTGAAAAAAGAGAGAATACCGCGAATGTGCTTTGGGTTATTGTCATCGTTAACGGTGGAAGCCGTTGATGGGTAATTACAGGGCGTGTCAAGGTTGTTGGTGGAGCACGTCTAGAGGCGCTGCGTCTTGCGTGATGTGGGCCATGGATGTGGGCCATGGGTGATGTGGGCCATGGGTGTGGTGGACCATGGGTGTGGTGGGCCATGGGTGTGGTGGGCCATGGGTGTCGTGGGACCATGGGTGTGGTGGGCCATGGGTGTGGTGGGCCATGGGTGTCGTGGGACCATGGGTGTGGTGGGCCATGGGTGTCGTGCGACCATGGAAACTTTGCGTCATGTACTATTCGAGAGAATGGGTTGAATATCGCCTGGCAAGTGGGAACCTTGTAGCAGCCACCCGAAACATGTCATCTCAAATACTTCTTCTCTCAGGTCTATTTTCATACGCCTCACAAAATATTCTTCATCCTGTATCTCAATCATAAATTTCCATATAACTTCTCATTTCTGAAACTCTTGCAAATGCTCTCTTTCCTCTGATGAGCGAGCGAACATCAGAGTAAAAAAAACGGTTGTTGGTACATCAGGTCCCATTTCCTCACATGGCTCTAGAAATACCCTCAGGTCCCAGCAAGCATTGACCACTAGCACAGCGTTGAGACTGCACTAGGAAATCACAGCGGAGTGAAATATCAATGTGAAAATTATTGGATCAATGCTGGGATTCAAACCGCGGTCACTCCAGCCGCACAGATCCCAGGAGGGCTACAGTGATTTTCGTTGTATGAGCGTAAAAAATAGCATTGTGGTTAGTTGTGTCTTTGCTGGTATATTATCTTAAAGTTCACAATTCGGATGGAACCTTTTGAGAACAAAGTGGAGCTTTATTTGAGCTTCTTATAAAGCAGAGAGCCCATTAATTTTGTATCTAAATTTACCAATGAAAATACATTTACGAGCTCGCCGCTTGGAGAATCGTGAGTTTAGGGGCGACTGAAGGTGGATTGACTGGAGGTGAATTTGAAAGTTGTTGAGCTTAGTGATGGGAGGTGGCAGGAGGGAGGAGAAGGAAGGAGAGAGGAAGGGAGGGAGGACGGAAGGAGGAAGGAAAGGTTCAAAGGTTATTGATATGTGGTTGACATCTCACAGCTCCTCACCCCACCCCGCCCTTAAGCCTTGACCTTGAGGTAAAAGTGAGAGTCCTGGAATTCGGTATATAAGCCCAGGGGGCCGTAGCAGACACACCCACACACACACATCACCCGACAACCTCTCAACCATGGCCTCCAAGGTACGGGTTATATCACTGTGTAGGCTGCATCGGTGATCGTAACATCAGGTTATGTTGTGGTGATGTAGCTAGTAAGGACCCACCTTCAGCTCATGGGCCCCGCCTTTCCCTAACGTGACGTGTAGTGCTGTAGTTAACACATTCGGCTCACAAGCGATTGGACCCAAGTACGACTCCCGGGCAGAGTAACACGTCTAGGCTTGTTTCTCTTCACGCAATGCATCTATATATTCACCTAGTAGTAAATAGGTACCCGGGAATTAGGTCATTATTGTGTGAAGCATCTTTGGGAAAGCCAGTCATTGACTTTTGGTATCCTCGATAGGCCTGGTCGACGACCGGGCCGCGGGGACGTAAAGCCCCGGAAACACCTCAAGGTATACTTACAAAGCTTCTAGTCCCCGACAATATAACATCTGCGGTTGAAACTATTTCCTATTGTCCCTTTCCCTTAATCGTGTATCACATAGGGAAAATCATTTATTATATGACCTGAATATTCCCTGGAGTATTTTGTATGTGGTGGTTTTGTCTCCCATGTTTCCTCTCTCTGCCAGTGACGTGAGATTTAATTCCTTTAGCGAACCATTGCTTGGATTTTACTCAACACAATTTTGCTTAGAAGTACTGCGCTGAATGTCTACGTGAGGAACGAGGATGTGGTGCTAGGTACTGTACTGAATGGCGTGTATTGCAATGAATGTACTGTAAGATATGAGTACAGTACTGTACTATAATGTGCACCACAGCGTTCAACCAACTATTTTATATAATACACGTGCCATTTTAGTCGTTGGGTATCAAACGTATTTGGGTAAAGTTCGTGGTCAGGAACATTTAATATTCCAATTACTACATTAGTTCGGAATGTGTTTAACATTTTTATAACATAAAATACAATACTATTCGCTGTATTTTGGTGACCGACATAGACACAATGTATCGTTCACAACCGCAGGGAGTCTTCGTATCGGAATCATAAAAAAACGAAGTGAAACCCTTAGAAAACCCTGAGTTTATACAATGGGCTCGAACTTGCGTCCATAGCCTTAATTATGTATTTGCAGCTTCATCAATATACCGTATAATGAATTTATTTTCATTGTGTCTTTTTGATGGTTTACAATTGTACTAACTTTGTGATTCCTTATTTCCTTTGATGGCAGATCATCGTTGTTGCTTGTATGGCCGTTTGCGTTCTGGCTGAACTCCCGCCTGCATACCCTGACACACCCACCTATGGCCCACCACCACCTAAATACCCCGCCCCACCAATCTACGGCCCACCACCAACCAAATACCCCGCCCCACCCACCTATGGCCCACCACCCACCAAATACCCCGCCCCACCCACCTACGGCCCACCACCACCTAAATACCCCGCCCCACCCACCTACGGCCCACCACCACCTAAATACCCCGCCCCACCCACCTATGGCCCACCACCACCTAAATACCCCGCCCCACCCACCGACGGCCCACCACCACCTAAATACCCCGCCCCACCCACCTACGGCCCACCACCACCTAAATACCCCGCCCAACCCACCTACGGCCCACCACCATCCAAATACCCCGCCCAACCAATCTACGGCAGAGAACCAGAATATCCCACAGTAAGTACTACACGAGCCAAGTGTTGGTGTTACTTAGCGAGTGAGTACTCTCGCTGTTATATTTCACGTTATCGTCAATAATACTCCGTATTAACGTAGTAAAAAATAATGAAATCTAACCAAACCCTAATCTATAATAACCTTAACCTAACCATGGATAGAGATAATGGCACTAATTATGTAATCGTTTTCAATTCATTCCTGTGAACTTATTTCCACCCTGAGGACAGGCTGGAGCATTAGAAACTAACATTATTGAAGATCCATCAGAATATTTAAAGTGCACATTGAAGATCTAGAGTCCACATAGATGATTCAAAGTCCACACAGTTGATCCAAAGCCTCAAATAGAAGATCCAAAGACCCAAATAAAATATCTAAAGTCCCAAATAGAACGAAAGTTCACGTAAAAAAATCTAAAGTCTTTATAGAAGATCCAAATTTAGGAAAATAAATTCCTTTTGTGATTTGATAATCACTATAATTACATACTCTCTAGTTGAAATTATTATATATCAGTAATAATTTATACATGATTATGCAGCATCGTCTAATCATCCCAACTTTCCTTCATACAGGTTCCTCCCAAGTACACCTTCAATTATGGCGTCTCAGACGAGTACTCAGGCACCAACTTCGGCCACTCTGAATCCCGCGACGGCTACAAGACTGAGGGCAGCTACTCGGTGGACCTCCCAGACGGTCGCAAACAGACCGTCAACTACGTGGACAATGGTGATGGTCTGGAGGCCCAGGTCACCTACGAGGGAGAAGCCCAGTATCCGGAGTATAAGCCAGAGTATAAACCCACCCCTGTGTACAAGCCTGCCCCTGTGTACAAGCCTGCCCCTGTGTACAAGCCTGCCCCTGTGTACCAGCCTGCCCCTGAGTACAAGCCTGCCCCTGTGTACCAGCCTGCCCCTGTGTACCAGCCTGCCCCTGAGTACAAGCCTGTCCCTGTGTATACCCCCGCCCCGGTATACGAACCAGCATCCAGGTACCCTACACATGTCACGTACGTCGCCTAAAGCCGGCTCCGACCCTCAGCCACTGACTGGCCCATCACACCCATAATACAACGAAGATAACTTTGTTATCATAATTACTGTGCCATACACAAGCCAGGCCCTGAATGAGCATGCAAATATCTGTTTGGTTTTTATTTATATACGGTTTAATCCTCTTACCAATTAACACGAGTATGTTTAAGCTATTATAGTTGCCAATCACAGATTCTTTGATTAGTCAGAAGGTTTCCATAAATGTATTTGGAAATTATGAAATGGATTTATAATTGATCGTTATAAAATGTAAAATCATCTTACAATAAACCTTACGCTTTTATTGATTGTTATTATTACAAAATTTATTGACACAATTAATTTACAACTTTGCCCAAATTGTAAATACTAGCATCAAATTTGTAATTTCGATGCTCGAATTCACTGTCCCACAGGACAGAGGATCATACATAAGATAATAGATCTGATTACGTAATAAAAACACGTAATAAGAACGTACGTGGTCACAAATTGTAAAGTACATGGTAAAGTACGAGTAATTGTAAAGTACGAGGTCACGAATTATTTAGTACGTGATCACGAATTATAAAGTACGTGGTCACGAATTGTAAAAGTACGTGGTCACAAATTGTAAAGTACGAGGTCACGAATTATTTAGTACGTGATCACGAATTATAAAGTACGTGGTCACGAATTGTAAAAGTACGTGGTCACAAATTGTAAAGTACGAGGTCACGAATTATTTAGTACGTAGTCACGAAATATAAAGTACGTGGTCACAAATTGTAAAGTACGTGGTCACAAATTGTAAAGTACGTGATCACGTACTATACGTGAAACTATAGTTTCACAGTCAATACTGTTGTGTTCGGGTGAATGATTTAATGATTTGTTACAAAGGTTACAAGCTGAATATTCTGACAGTGGCTCAGCCTCACCAACGCGCCAGATGTGACTATAGCGAACATGAATTCTCACAATGATTATATCATATTGTCTGGTCCAGTCACTGTGCTGAGTATACAAATACCTATTATTACACAAGTTGTCATGGCTTTTAATACGGCTGATTTCAGATCTTTGAACATTTTTTGTTCTTCCCAAATGGAGAACAATGGGAAGCTGCCCTTTCTGGATGTAACAGTCAAGGAAAAGAGCGAAGGCTTCCATACTGCAGTCTACACCAAGGAAACAAATATAGGAATGTGCCTCAATGCCAATAGTGACTGCCCAGACAGGTACAAGAGTGTTGTGAATGCTTACGTCGACCGTGCTCTAAGCCACAGCTCAGGATGGAAAGAAGTCGATGAAGAACTCTGTAGGGTAAGGCAGGTCTTAGTCAACAACGGCTTCTCTAACGGTTTCGTTTAAGACATCATAAAAAGAAAGGTAAAACGTCATGCAACTTCCGAAGAGTCAACCAACACAACACTTGTACCCCCAATTAAACAATTTTACAGGAACTTCTTTTCGACGGCTCATAAAACAGAGGAAAGGGTCCCGAAAGATATTGTTGATAGGAACGTCATCCCTACAGACAAAAATCAGAAAATACAATTCATAATTTATTATAAAACCAAAAAAACGGCCAATCTACTCATGAAAAACTCGCCAGACACCAAACAGAACGCTTTGAAGGAGACCAACGTCGTCTATGCCTTTAAATGCCCACTTGGGGACTGTAAGCCCCAAAGAACTCAGTATATAGGCACGACAACAACGTCTCTTTCTAGGCGACTAATAATGCATAAGCAACAGGGAGCCATCAAGGAACACATAATCTCTTTTCACAACCAGACCATCACCAGAGAAATCTTAACAAACAACACAGAAATCATCGACAGGTACGGTGATAGCAGGCGGCGTGACATAAGCGAGGAACTACACATCAAAAAGTCAACACCAGCAATCAACAGCCAATTAATGCACAACTATATTCTACCTACTTCAAGACCCCGAACCAATATGGAAGCAGCAAGAGGAAGTATGGGCCAATAGGCCTTCTGCAGTTACTTCCATTCATAAGTTCACTTATCCAATTTATACCCATTGTTTCGTGTTCTGTCTTGTGTTTGTCACCTCACCCAAAACTTTTGTACCATATCACCTCATCCAATAGAGTATAAGTACGAAGAATTTGTGTGTAAATTAAGTCTTTAAAAATGTAATACGAATTACGAAACGCGTTCAGGCTTCAGACAATTAAAAAATGAATTTCGGAGAATTGTTATTTGTATTACCACCGACAGTGAAGAAAAACATAAGAAATATTGAGAAGATTCGTGTTAGAATTATTAATCTTACCTTTTCGGTCATATTCAACAACATATAATATAAAATATATATATATTATATATATATATGCGAACCAAGAATACACACTCCTTGGACTTTAGATTTACCTTCTCGAAAAAGATAAATCAATTAATATATATGAATCAATAAAACTCATCGTTCAGTACCACTGTAAGACTTTTCTTCTATTACAAGACGTTTCTAGGAGAGAAGAGTGAGATAGAGAGCCAGTTTCTGTGAGGAAAGCGTGGAAACTCGCCGTTTCCCCTCGCGGTGATAGAAAGTCACTCATATCACGTATAAATAGCGGCGACTGGCTCGTCCCAGCACCAGTTACCAGCCATGTCGCTCAAGGTAAACACTCCCTCTGGCCGCTGGTGCTGCACTTGTTCCTAGAGTAATTCCTGGCTTTATAATATGATTGTGTATGTGTGGATACCAGTAAGCAGCCCCACAACACGTTGACTAACTCATGGGTTACCTATTTACTGGTTGGTGAACAGGTGGATTAGGTGATAGGAAACGCGCCCAACCATTTCTGTCCCGCCGGGGATTCAAACTCCGAATTTTTTATTGTGAGTCGAGAATGATCCCGACTGTGTTACCGGGACGACTTATGAGGTGTTTTATGTTGCAGTGATTGTTATTGCGTCGTACTGACCGCCAGGGTCTGTATTACAGGTCGTCGTTGTCGTCGTTTCCGTGATCGGGGTCGTGTTGGGCGAGCTTCCCCCCCAGGTGTACCCAGAGACTCCCCAGTACCATTCTCCCCCCAGCTACCACGCCCCAGTCGAGACCTACCCTGATGTAAGTACTCACAGTAACCTCTTTTTGACTCTGAATAGATAACTACTTTATGAAGGGTATTTCTTTCATTCCTGTATATTAAAAATGTTAGCTTATATTTAATTATTTTCTTACATGTTGTAACTGATTGCAAACCGTTTCCGAGGTAGTGGGAGATGAATACCTGATGATGTATGTGCATGGCCATGTGAAGCCCATATTCCGCCCAAGGATAGGAGAAAGACTAAGAACCTGAGTGTTCAATCCCTAATAGATATTCCATATGATCATGTTACGCCACAAGGTTATGAGAAGCATTTTGACTCCTCCGGCCAAGGAGATCGTAGATCTTCAGATCCTAGATCTGTAGAACTAATTTAAAGCTTTGATGCATACTGCGTTCATACTGTGCTGATAAACTAATTACGCCAGACAGAACGAAGTTAGTCGAAGACAGTGTTCGGGTTGTAGAGGTTTTATCGTTTAACAGATACAAAGGACTGTGATGGTGATAGACATGAGGTCAGGGATGTGAAGGTGAGAGACATATCTCTTATGTTTTTCAATTAATGTTTGTGAAATAATAAAATAGCAAAGGGATCATGAATGTTGAATGTTATTTCACTGTCATGGATTGTAGTCTGATGTTATCAGAAGTAATGCTTGGTCCCAGGCCGACCTTGGGGGAATATAAGGTAAGGTAATTGTCAAGAAAAAGCACTAGCCAGAACGACTATATAGCACTGTGAGGGGACGTGAAGACTAGGATATGGTTGAGGGAAGGACCGGTGCCCAACCACTTGGGCCATTAGAGATCGAACGCTAACCTGCAGGATTCGAGGCCGTCGTTGAACAAACCTATCCAAGTGGTTGGGATTTAGAAGAACTCCCAGAAACCACTCAAGACAAACTTTAGGTATGATGGCTGCAGGAGCGATGCACTGTCACGAAATGCTTTTTTGTTTGACATTGAGTTTAGAATTCTTTACGGTGAGCATTTGCTCCTGGTTCGTGACACTGGTAGTATCGACGCGATCGACATGGTAGACATACTCTCGTTCGTAAAGCCTCACCTCTATGTATGGAAATGCTTAACGCATGTTTAGTCAATAAGGAACGAATTACACCTACAATGGTAAAGTTATTGTTCTGCTTCGCCTCTCTCCACCAGACTCCCCCACAGTATACCTACAACTACGGTGTTGCTGATGGCTACTCCGGCGCCAAGTTTGGCCACAACGAGGCCCGCGACGGCTACAAGACCCAAGGCAGCTACGTAGTGGACCTCCCAGACGGCCGCAAGCAGACCGTCAACTACGTGGACAATGGTGATGGTCTGGAGGCCCAGGTCACCTACGAAGGAGAGGCCCAGTATCCGGAACACAAGCCTTCATACCCTGCTCCTCAACATTACAACCCTCCACCACCACCTACCTACGCTTAAGACAGCTTACTCTTTAGATCTAACGCATACATACATTAATATAACTCCTGCTGATTAGAATATTTTTTTGTTTTGTCTTCTGTTAATTCAACCGACACATGTTGTGTGCCATACTAATGTTCCAGTAAATGTTGAAGTGCTGTATATCTTGATTCCTTTACCATGTGAATGGGTTCTTTAACGAATACCACAATTTATCAAAGGCAGAAATAAGAAGAAGTAGTTTGTCAGCACACTATATGTCTTCTTAATTGCTATACAGTTAAGAATTCTTAACTGTAGATCAACTTTACTCATAAAGCATTTTAATTACTAAGGTTTGCGTCTACAGTGTGCTGTGGAGAGACAAGAGTATGAAAACTCTTGGACATCAGTTGGATGTCTCCGAGACCCTCCTCTATACTGGGTATTCAGCACCTTTGTTGGCAGAGCTGCCGTTTTCCGCTTTTGGGGTCGGTGTTTCCAGACTCCGATTGCCCAAGGAAGTGAAATGTTGTTATCCTCGTTTATTGTCGCTAGAAATTTATGGAATCTACCACACTATATATATATATATATTATATATATATTGCAAATAAAAATGTTTCTGAATGAGTTAAGCTCATAACTGGCTACTTTTTGCTAATGTTTGATGAAAAGATGAAGTAGTGGTTCTTTTTATTTATTTACTTTGTAACAATGTGGAGAGTACGTAAAACACATTCGTGCAAGTGTAATGGATAGCCAATAATGTTACCCATATAAATTATATTTAAGTCAGAAAGAAAACTAGTAGGTTGTGGCTTATAATAAACTTTAGGAAAGGAGCCTTCAAAGTGTGTTAACAAAATGAGCTGTGGAAAAAGAGGGATTAGCCTGTTAACAGGAGTCAGAAATCTTCCTATACCTCACGTGGAAGTAAACATATATTTAGTCCTTGCAAAGCGATTGACATGAACTCTACAAATGGTCAGAAGACTGCCAAAATGCTTTTCAATGTGGAAAAATTCATAACATAATAGTATACATCATTACTACCATATCAACAACACGAGGAGGCAGCACATAGATAACGCAAAGGGCCAAGGAGCTATGATCCTGGGCCATTTTCTTAATTTATAGAGGCCCTGGAATACTTATTGACGAATCTCATGATAAATACAACAATAACGAAGAATAATTTTGTCGCGTAAATTTTCAGTAGTTTCCCGACTAAAGTTCTCAGTGCCTTCAGTTTTCTTTGAAGCATTTCTGCAGCATTAAGATCGACGCTAACTCTTCGGAATTTAAACATAATAAAAATTAGTTTTGTCGGGGGACAGGTAGCCAGGGGTATACATACATATTAGGCTTATATCGAGGTCCCTGCACCCAAAGGTAGAACTACTGACCCTCCCCAGGATGCAACCCTCACAACAGTTGCCTAACTATCGGACACCTATTTACTGCTAGGCGAACCGGGCATTAGCTAATAGGAAGCGCGCCCAACCATTTCTGCCTTGCCCGGAATTCGAACCCCAGAATTCCGGATTGTGAGCCAAGACCCTAATATACATACACACTGTCTCTTCCCACGACAAAAAGAATTCATTATTGTGATTTTGTCTTTCCGCTCTGAGTGTTAAATAACACTTTACTTTTCTAATATATGTCACCTTTCAATTTGTAAGGCAAATGTTACTCACTTTGTGCCTAACATAAGTTTTGTTTTAGTCTGCTTTTCACCTATTTAGTCCAGTCAATGTTGTAATGATAAAGGAAAACCACATTTTCAGGTTAAGCTTAAACAATTTCCTGATATTAATTTGTTGTTTCATCACTATTATATTCCACTTGATGGGCAAGAGTGCTTGCCTCAAGCACTCTTGCCATCGACACTCTTCATCGAGTGTCCCGAGTGGCCGGCACGTTTACTTTGAAAAAATTAGAGTGCTCAGAGCAGGCTACTTTAATGGCCTGAATGTCAACTACTACTATGTAGTAGTTGTTATTAGTAGTAACAACCAACATCGCTTCCCTTCATCCCTCCCCCCCTCCCCCCCATTAACCACCATTGCGAAATCAGCAGCGGCAGCAAGCTTATTCTCAATTTACCAGAGTGCCACAATGTCTCTAGTGGCCTCGTAGAGGACAAGAAACTGGCGGCTTGTGAAAAGTTCGCCCATTTGACCATTTCTTTAATCCTCTATCCTATTAATATTTCTTACGGGGGGATTACACACCTCGAGGCGTACTCTACTTCTCGGTGTATGTCCACCGAGAGCTTACTCTGGATTTTGTCCAGAGATAGAGTAAACTTGGTGGTTGGTCAGCAAGCACTTGTGGTGACCATAACCTCCACAGGCTTATCAGCCTCTGGAGGATTTCCAGCAAGTTTTTACATTACAGACTGTTTCTTTACTAACCTACTTCTGCACGAATTTCCCATCCTGGGAAGCTTAAGATGAGGTGAGAAGACATTTTTAAACCTTAGTTTATCTGTCCAGAATGGATTTAAAATATTTCACGCTGAAATATTTGTTTTACAAGCTGATTTTCTCAATCTCTCTCTCTCGTCACTAAATTAAGTATAATCTTACTGTTAAACTTTAATTTTTGCTGCTAATTGACAATTATGTGAGTACCCTGATATATAATCCACGTTATTTTCTTCCTTTGGTAAATAAAACAACAAGAAAAGTTAAAATCTCGTGTTTATATCATATACAGTAATGAACAGATAATAATATTGCATCTAAAACATAAAACGAGGTCTACAAAGTGCTGAATATCACATAGGCTTAACCTACAGCCTTTTCTGGCCTGATATCTAGGAAGTTTCTTCTGGTGGAATGAGGCTTGGGTCATATTGCTTGTTAGATGGTGATTGGCTATTTAATTCATTACGTTGATGTTCTTAATGAGTAATGATTGGTCGTGTGAGTTGTGACGTCACTGGCCTGTTGGGTGCTAATAGGTGCATACCACAACTACCATCGTACATATAAATTCATGCAGAATTATGATAGGTCGCATGAGGGATGACGTCCTTTGCTCTTTCAAAACTACAAGTTATATGTGGAGAGCTGGTGCTTGTCTTGCCTACTGGGTTATGATTTGTTCGTTACATTTATAATGGATTTCCTTCGTTTGAATGTTGAAAAGATGGACTTTTTATATATTTTTTTCTGGCATGATTAGAATGAAGTGTGGTTCGGGTTCTTCCTCAGGTAGCGAGCGTCAAATGACAGGGATAATCTGTTATCAAGATGCGTTTATGTTATTTTCATGCCAACTGCGTCTATTGATCTATCGATGCGGAAGAGAGTGAAGCACATGTTGTACTGCTGGCCAGGCCCCAATAGCACAGCAAGTAGTCGGAACAAATATGTTGTATTTAAAGCAAATGTTTACAAATGAGAAAGTTAAGAAGTATCGTTTTAGCAGGCTTTCTTGAAATATTCGTCCTGTTGTACAGTAACCTGCGTTTTCCACTCATAATCATGGACCCTGGGTTGGGGACGTATTCTTCCATCTGATGGGCCTATTCACCTAACAGCAAATAGGTTCGCGGGAGTTAGACAAATGTTCTGGGGTTGCATCCTGAGGAAGGTCAGTAGTTAAACCTAGAGGGGACCTTGATCTAAGTGCAGGCTTCCTGTCCCCGACAACAGGAATTGTGTGTAATGGAGGTCATTTCACACTTGGCCTCTCATACAGTAGTCACTGTTTTTAATACATTATTTTTCTACACATTTTTGTTGATATTCCTGGCCTTGCAAGATGGTGTAGGCTACGGCTCAGTGAGCGCCAAGTTAACTTAATGACTAATGTTACTGTCTTGACAGAAAATGCGATGCTCGTCTTTATTGTAGAGGAACGTAAAGGTGTAAGTGTAGAGTTTACAATCACCTCCAGACAGCTACGCAACGCTCAAATGTATCGATTTTTTGGGGTAAAAAGATCGACTTAACATCTAGGACTTGAGCTGTTTAACATGGTCTACAAACTGATTATTATGCTAAAAATATTGATACAAATTATGGTTGTCATGAACGAAGTAATTCAGCTGTGCATATGAATAAATTTAAATGAAAGTACATATTGCTTTTATGAATACAATCACTAACTACAGTCAACAATTAATGGAAATAACATTATTCTCATTCCATATGTACATTTTTTTACACGCCAGTGTCTCATTCCACTGTCACCAATCTCATTATTAGTCTCGAAATATTGGCTGTTAAACAAGAACAAATTAATAATTTGTCTTAAGTTATAGAAATAAAACAGAGCTAAGAAGTGTAAATATTACATCTCCATAAGAGGTAAATGATCTTAAATAATCTTGATTCTTCAGTGCATAGTGTCAGAAATTGTATAAAATAGAGTAATTCACAAAAGCTAAATATTATTGCAATCATTGAAACATAAATACATCTTGGTATCCGATAATTATATATAATCCTTTCGTTAAATATAAAAAAAAAATTAATTAAAAATTAATTACTAATATAACATAGATAACTAGGTTGTAATAATTACTTCATTAATTAGTAAAAAATATATATAATTATTTCGAAAAAGCTTTTTATAGTACATTTAATTTACGTAAATTTATTCTATAACTTATGTGCAAGGAAAAATATATAAGAGCTCAAAAATAAAGATAATGTCATAGACTGCAATTTTAGTTAAATAATTTTAATAACCCAAAATGAAAATACCGAGACAAGAGGCATTAGCTGAAAGTCATGCAGAAAAAATCTAATTTGCAATTTCTCAATAAAATAACATTTTAATGAACAAATTTAAAAAGTCATAATAATTAACATTTATTTAGCCAGAAACAAAGAAATGAGAATTAAAGATAAAAAAACAAAACATTAGTAAATTAATATTATGGAATGTGGTATTTTCTTCAGCATTTGTAATTGAAATGCAATTACGATCCTATATCTTGACATTAAGCTACTGAGACCTCCTTTACACCACACTTCTCGTCACTGTGCTACATAAATAATCTGATAAATCCTATAAGTAAAAAAATAAAACTGTGCATTTTTGCATTCTGCCTCAACTCTCGTTGGTCATCCCACAGCCTAAGCTCCCTTGATCGAGTGATCGTGTGCTCAACTTATCACTCGACTGCCTGCCCAACTGCCTCAACTCACTGGATCATGTGCTCAGCTGTCTCAAATCACTCGAATGTGTTCCTAACTGCCTCAACTCACTGGATCATGTGCTCAGCTGCCTCAAATCACTCGAATGTGTTCTTAACTGTCTCAAATCACTCGAACGTGTACTCAGCTGCCTCAAAGGTCATATGGGAAATTTTTTCGAATCCTTTAGAAACAAAAACCTTGCCATAATTAATATGTTTTATCTGAGAAAAAAAAATTATCATTGAACTTATTTGTAATTAGTCTTTCTGTTCTGTGAAGGACTGTGCCCCATTCAGTCTCTGGCGCAGTGGTTATGTTCAGTGTCATATTGCCTCTATATATTTCTTTTAATTAAATATACATATAAAACTATCAATAGATATGTGTCTTTAATATATATTATATATATTATATATATATGCGTTTTTTAAATGTGTCAAAACTTCGAGATCTAAGTAATGAGTTTGGCGGAACAGTTTATCGTCCATTAACTTTACCCGGATACGCGAACTTGTGACTGATTTTCATATGTACACTTTTATATATGAAAGATATTCATAGGATTTCTTGCCTCGGAGCGACGCATATGTTATAGTTATTTACAGTGTAGATGTTGTAGTGGGTTACTGATGTTTGTGGCGGGTTGTGTGGTGGGTGTATGTGCGAGTAAGTACCTAATTGTAGATACTTAAGTGTAGTTACAGGATGAGAGATATGCTCTTGGTATCCCGTCTTCCCATCCCACTGAATGTGGAGTTGTGCAAATCCGTGAATGAAAGTATGAGAGTCTGTATACGAGGGTCGTGGTGCCGCCTAACAGAGTTTGAATGATCAAGTTTCGGCTCCAGCTGTAGATCTTCTATGCAACGACTCTTCTGTTTTACTTCGTCTAAACGTTCTTTTATTAAATTTTATCAATACCCTTGAATATTTTGGACGTTTCAATATTGTCCTCCGAGTCGTCGTTCTTCAGACGACATTCGCTTACGCCAATAAATTTTTCCTTGATGGAAACTTTTGCTCTTTTATATTGTCCTTTTTGATGTGGGGGATTAATGCTGATATTGCATTCTCTTCCTCGGATTGCAAGTACGGTGTAAAATGCGTTTCGAAAGCATCCTTTTCTGGATTCTTTAAAAGAGACGTGATGTTAGCCAGCTTAGCATATGCTGCTTATTTGAATCTAAATGTATGCGAGTACGGTGAATGGTACGGATGAATAACCGAATAACCGTTTCGAGCATTGAATGAGCGTTGCACTTGGACACTGTGCCTACAGGGTTGGCGAGCGGACTCCCTCTCATTTCTCTATATATTATCATAACGTTTGACTTTTTCCAGAACATCTGCACCATTCCTCAAGTCTGTAGTTTAGATAGTAATGCACTGGACCATATGTTTAACTCCAGTTTGTCTCTCTAACTTGTGCACTATGATCTGATGTGTGTGTACTCACCAAGTTTTGCTTACAGGATTGAGCATCTGCTCTTAGGCTTTGCCTTTTGACCACCATGATTGCAGTGACTCATTTTCACGTTGTTGTTCGAGTCATATTTACATTCAAAACCGTCTCGAATTGGCCCCGACAACTTCATTTAGTCCATTCCACTTATTTACGATTCTAATACTGAAAAAGTTCTTTCTGACATTTCTGACATAAATGCTTTTATTGGGTTCTTCGCCTACTTTCTTATTCTTTGTATAACAACCTGATTCCTGTATGTGTGTGTATGTATGTAAATTTATGTTTGTGTATATGTATATGTGTATATGTGCAATTTTACATTTACATTCATTCGTGTTCATCACGACCAAACAATGTATGCTTCGACAGCTATATCTGAGCAGCTGGTGTGTGTATATATCTCAACTATTTATACCTATACCTACCTACCTACAAAATATTTACATAAACACATGCAATTAACCACTAACACAATAACAACTAATTGTTTCGAAATTACCAGATCCTTCCTTTACACAACGCTTAATTATCCTAACAAACTAAGAAACATTTAGTGTTCCAAGAAAAGAAAAAACATTCAGTAACACAAGGAAGCAAATACATTGTTCGTAGTTAACAAACACAGTGTTCGCAGATGATTAACAAGCAAACACAATTCTCTCGTTTTTTTTTTAGCAGAGAAGCACATGAATTGTTCCCAAGGCTTGAACAATAAACACATACGGTGTTCAAAGCAAACATGCAAACAAATACATTAATTCCAATATATATATATATATATATATATATATATATATATATATATATATATATATATATATATATATATATATCTATCTTTCACGTGTTGTTATGACTAACCACCTCACGTTTCACGTGTTTCATGACACGTGTTAATTTTCGTCATTCACACACACACATATTATATATATATATATATATATATATATATATATATATATATATATATATATATATATATATATAATATATATATATATATATATATATATATATATATATATATATATATATATATATATATATATATATATATATATATATATATATATATATATATATATATATATATATATATATATATATATATATGTAATTTCTACATAAAGAAATAATGCTAAATAACAGACCATGCAAACCAAAGGTAAATAAAAGACAAAATATCCCGATAGGTTTAATTGGGAAGTATAGATGCAACATAATCGTGTCCCAAACCGGAAGAAACGAAGTAAAAACTTGAGAAAACAAAAGTCACATGACCACGTTCAAGGGTCAAATCAGGGTAAAGGGACGTAATGACAATTTAATGACAAAAATAATAAAAAAATGGAACATAGTTTATACAAGCAGCGTTCATAGATTCGAAGTTAAAAGTTCTGGAAGTGAACGTTGCTGTTTTTATGATATGGCAACAAAGTGTATACATTTCTAACTGCTGACACAATTGTGTTAACATTTTAGACAATTCGAGTACTTTTGTTTCTATGTAGCTAGTTCGAAACTACCTGTTCACCCAGAAACTCCAAAAGTCATGCCTTATATCCAGTTTCAAACATAGGGACCCCCTTTGATACCTTCACGGTGATATTGGTATCAAGTGGGTCCCTACGTAGGTATCATCCCTTGATGCCCCCAGTGGGACCTAGGGCCCGTTGATACCTCCTAAGTGACACTGGTTAAATACCAACAATATTGGAAAGAATGCGTCCCGTTTTAACGGAATACGTGACAACTTACCGTTAAAATTTGGCAGTTGGAGTCATACACAGAAAATGTCTACATACAAAACTAATTTAGTTATTCGCATGAATGTTTTTATTGGTTCGGAGGAAAACAAAGTTTTCGCATGTGTCTTTTACCAAGCTTCGAGTCGAAGCATTATTTTTACAAAATATAAGTTATATTAACTCATATTCCTTTTAAAATATGCATTCCATTTATGTATTGCACGTATATATAATTTTTGTTTGATTTAGCCAATAGATAATTTACCAAAATCTCGTGCAAAAATGATGCGGTGGTTCGAAGCTTCGTAAAGGATTCATACGGACACCTTGTTTATATCTATGATTACAGTAAACTTAAAAACATTATGTCTTTTAAGCAAAATATATTCAACCAAAATTCTACACATTTCCAAATCTTTCATGGACAATAACTACAAACGTATAGTTCAGTTAAACTACTTGTATTCCGAGAGCCGACCGGGTGAGAATGTGAGCAAAGCAGTGAGCCCTGTACCGGTGGGCTCAGTCTCGGAACAGCGCTCGGACTGACTTAGTGTCGGTCGGCCTCGGATCGAACCCATTGATATCCAAAAGAAACAACATTATGATTTTCTTGTGAATATAAAGTGAAAACATTCATTCTTCAGCTAATGGACTGGTATGGCGGTGATGAGGATGATCACAGGAAACTTCTAATGAACAACAACATTAAGATGTTCGCTATGGGCAGTATTTACAAAGATATCGTCTCCAAATTCCGATAGAGTATTAATAATGCTTTTATATATTTACACATATTTATACTATGTTCAGGCTCCAGAGTCCATTTTCTATTGGCGAGCGTTATTGATAGTGGTGAATATGATTGTGTGTTGGTGACTGGATGTGTAATGCATATACAGGACGCCAAGTATATGAGTATTTATATACAAACGCAGCCTTTCTGAAAAGTGTCTGTACATCAGATCTCTAGTAGAGATTTATTCACATGATTTATCGGTATAAACATTAGAGTAGGAAGATGCGACACACACAAGGTTATTCAAGCACTTTCAGAGTCAACTTATGAAACCTGTACATCTTTCCTCAATCATAGTGGCTTAGTTTGTAGTTATTAAGGAGTTTACGAGTTCCGAAGCGGTGAACGAGGTCTTCCTCGTTACCGATGTCCTAGGAGCGCCTCGGAGCTCTTAATCTTGATAATAATTACCACCATAGCCGCCATAATGAGGTACACATCTAGAGGTACAAGTGCTTGCAAAATGTTGGCCCGTCTGATTTCAGTAAACACCCTGATCGTGTTATCCTTGTAAACACGCTCAGATATTGAAAGCTACTGAAAATGTTTTCAATGCTGAAATTACTTACAGTAATTGAACGCTTTGTGTGTGTTTAATGACAAAGAGTATAGTGGTATTTTTTCACCCTATAAAAAATTTGGTTTGAAAAATTATAGACGATTATTTTTAGTGATCCATCAAAACCTGAAAGAGTAATGTCAAAATTGTTGTAAATAAATGCGCCTTGTTGCACTGCACCTAACTATGCGGTAATAGAAATATGTTACCATGTACTTCAAGACGGGAAAATATTGCACTGAACTTGCAATATACTTGTGCATAAACTTACGAATAATTTTTTATCTACAGTCATAAACTGTTGCTTCTAAACAAAAATAGATAATTTAACGTTTATTAGCAGGCAAAAATTTGTGTGAGGAATAACATAACCTAACCTTAAATTTTGGCTGCTAAACGCTCATAAATGAGGAAAGGCATATTGACAAAATAAAATGTTATAATAAATTTAAATGACAATTTCAAATACAATCAATTCTTTGTTTTTGAAGTTACGTCCAAAATATGCAAGAAATACTAGATTGCATACCTACAATGGAATATCTTCAACCCTAGTGTGACTTTTGTTCTTAATATGGGCAAGGACATCAAATAATATTTTTCTTTTGTTCACATCTTTTTTGGGAAAAAGGAAAAAGAGGATATTATGCTGTTAAGGAAAAAATACAATCCCTGCTATGATTGGATGGTTGTCGTTATTTAATAAAGAAGCCCCTTGATTGGTCAAAATATCTGACCAATCATATTCCTAAAAGACACCCTCTTAATTGGTTAAAATGTCTAACCAATCACAGGCGCTAGGGGCTAGTGGATCTTGCTAGTTTTCCAAGCAAGCTTATCTACACGACAACCAGTCCATCTGAGGGCAACCGATCTTCCTCTGGAAACTCGTCAGTGATGTAGTAGTTAAATAAGACCCAGTAGATGGTGAAGAGAATGAAGAAGGTCGAGGGGAAGAATCTCCGAGCGTAGAGATCGATGATGGAAAAGCGGTCGAGCAGGTCCTCCTCGCTGGGCACTGTATTCCCCGGTGACATCTCCGACATTAGCTTCCTTTTCTTGGTCAGGATTTGCCACACCGTGAAGGGGGGAGGTGGAGAAGGGGACTCGTCCTCGGACTGAATGTCTACTTTAATAACTGTCAGGTCACTTTCACTGTCCTGCGTTTTTTGTTCAGACGATTCTTTCTTGAACTTAAATATGCTCCCTCTGCTGGTAGCGCTGCCGCTGTCGCTACCCGATAGATGGGTGTCCCTTTTCGCTAGTATAGGGTCCATCTCCCCACTTACTACACTGGTGTCAATACCACTGCCGTTACCACCACTGTCAACGTCACTCTCTCTTAACTCTGGAGACTTGGTGATAATTCTGGCTCGCAGGCCCTCTTGCTCCTCTTTCTTTATGGCCTGCAGACTCACCGGTACAACCGCAAGGGGGAGTTTCAGAGCCTCCTTCAGCGGACTCTGAGTATCTACCACCTGCACCTCTTCTTCAATAGGTTGAACGCTCAAGGGGACAACAGAGAGCGGGACTTTGAGGGTGTCCCTTAGAGACGCCCCTATGTCGACGCCTCCTTCGTCCCTCACCGTCGTCGTCACCAGCATCGTGGCGTCCTTCTCCGCCGCCTGCAGGAAGATACACACCTTAGCACTACCGTCTTCACCACCTCTGTATTGTGTCTCAGTATTCAAGTGTTTTATTTTATGATTGTTAGTGTATTTGTTTATTATTTGTATTTACTATTTGTATCTGCAGAATCGAGTTATTAGCTCTTGGACCCCGCCTGTCTAATCAATCTAATTTTCTTCTATTATGTCTACTACATATATTTCTCTTTAACACACACACATCCTCAGGAAGCAGCCCGTAGCAGCTGTCTAACTCCCAGGTACTTATTTACTGCTAGGTGAACAGAAGCATCAGGATGAAAGAAACTCTGCCCATTTGTTTCCGCCTCCGCTGGGAATCGAACCCGGGCCATTAGGACTACCACCCCTCAAGCGCTATCCACTCAGTCACGAGGCGCCCCCCCACCACACACACATTGTGTGTACTCACATAATTGTGCTGACGGGGTGTCGAGCTTCGGGTCTTTGGTCCCGCCTCTCAACAAGCGCACAGGTTCCTGAGCTTTTGAATCTTATCATATCTCCGTTTGAAACACGTCACTTAATAATCCAAGATGATCAAGATTTCTAATTCAATGATTTCTAATGTCTCTGTGGCTCTCTTGGGTACTCGGTTTCCACCTGTGTTCCCTCGTTTGAATAGAACCCGTTTTAATAATCTTTGTCTTATTAATTCCCCCGAGAATCTTTAATGTGGTAATCATGCTTCCCCTAACCGTGTGCGTGTGTGTGTGTGTGTGTGTGTGTGTGTGTGTGTGTGTGTGTGTGCGTGCGTGTGTGTACGCGCGCGCCTATTTGTGAATGCGCGTGTATGCATGTATGCGATTAAACTCAAATAATAGGAATTAAGATTACTTCATCATTCTACTCATAATATATAATAATTTGGATATACAATTTTAATAATTTGTATAATGTAATACCAGAAATATATTAAATGTAAAATTAGCACACACATTTTAAATACATGATTCAAAAATAATTTCCATGTACTTAAGAGCATAGACACCGACGATGATAACTTTGATATTACAGTATATAACTGTATAATTTTTCAGCAAATAATCAACAATTTGTCTTTTAGTCAGATTAACAAGTCAAAACGCCCCATGATTGGACAAAATGTGCGACGGATCACCTTCCTCTAAATAAGCTCTTTGATTAGACAAAATGTCCGATCAAGCACTTTCCTCCAATAAGGAAGCCCAATAATTGGCCAAATGTCCAACCAATTACTTTCCTCCTATAAATAAGACCATTAGTAACTCTAGCTGGCAAAAATGTTCAACCAATCAAGTTTCTCCAACGTCAATTAAAATAAAGCTTGGATTTTTATTCATCTCAAGTCCCATACATAAGTAACTGTCGCATGGTAATTTGCCCTGCAGGAAGTACCAGGAATTACACTCATACTTTCAGAAATAATTCTACACATAATCAAGGATCACATCTGATTTAAAAAAACAAAACAATGGGGGGTTGTGCACTGTGAGGTGAATCCAATCACCGGACATGTTAATGCCCGAGATTAGGTGAAGCGTCACCACCGCCTCCCACACTCCGGTCTACCCAATCTCTAGTTTTGGGTGATGAATAATGTGGTGTTGGTAAGGGATTGGGTATTAGATTATGGCACGCGGTTTGGTGAGGGTTGGGTATTGCCTGAGGGTAGGATATTGGGTGTGGGTTCGCCACTGGGTGAGGGGTAGAGATGAAGACAGGGAAGAGTAATGGTTGAGGGTATGGCATGAGGTGAGAGCAGTGTATGAGGTGAGAGCAGTGTATGAGGTGAGAGCAGTGTATGAGGTGAGAGTAGCGAATGGGATGAGGTCTCATGATTTGAATGAGTACATACTTCAAAGGCAGCACTATAATAATAATAATACTACTAATAATAATAAATAATAATAATAATAATAATAATATCACTTACTATTACTATTTAATATGAGGGTCGTCAGAGGTATAATTATTACTAATATGATAATTAAAAGTTACTAGCAAAATACAAAACTTAAGAAAAATAACAAAATTTAGAAATTGTTGCAAGTAACATCGTTAATTATCAAGCTTCTTGTTCCTAGGCTTTTCGGGTAATTTTTGTTTACACCTAAAAGTAAAAAAAAATATTTACATTAGAATTTCAGGTCATATAAGTGAACGCCATAAGAAACACAAGTTTTTGGATACTTAGCTGTAATGTATTGCAACAACATGCTTTATCAATAAACATTATTTAATAGAAATAGAGGAAAACTGAAAAGCAATATTATTCCCTTAGACGATACCCCATGTTGGAGTTTCTTGCTGGGAAAAATAACACATTAGGATTAAGAATAGGGCAGTAGGGATATGAAGGATACAGAATGTGGGGGGGGCAACCCTTCCTCATAAAAATAACGTCACTTTTGGCTCGTATGCGCGCTATGGCCAAATTTGGACGTAATTTGAAATGAAATCGACTCACAAAAGTGACGTACTGTTCCGTTTTCTGTTTGAGCCGTCCGGCTTACTCGGCAAGCTTAGAAAAGGAAACTTTCAATTGACGTTTTTCATAACGTTTTGAAACTTTATGAAAATTTCCTGCCCACCTAACCTATCAGAGGACCCTTAACTTACTGTTGTTGAAAAAAAAATCCCAAACTTATTTTATTTTTTTTTTCATTTTCAAATTACGTCCATATTCGGCCATACGGGCAAACGGCCAAAAGCGACGTTCTTTTTAAGAGGACAGGTTGGCGATACAACGTAGCGGGGATCGGATTGGGGAAGCCCAAGAACACCTGATTGCCTAATTGGTCATTTACGATGATGGGGGTGGGGGGGGGGGCGATAAAATGAAAAAAATCCTGGTGAATGATGAATTTTATTTAATGGGGTCCTATTAAGTAACTCTTAGGAAAGATAGTGTTGTTAGATTCAAAGATTCTAAGACTGTCTCTACGGTTTGTTGAGATCATCATCTCGTGCTCATTAACAAGGTAATTCTTAAATTATGTCTTCATTTACAATATAGAATTGAGCATAATATTATAATTTGGTTGACCGTTTTTGATAAACAGATAAACATTACCGGAATTTGGTGTGTGAATTTAGTATTGGTATTTACTATTTGTGCGTTCAGGATCGAGCTGTTAGCTATTGGACCCCGCCTTTCTAACCGTCGATTGTCTAATGTACTGATTCAGACATTTTTCTCTCATTTGTACTGCTACTTATATTTCTAACACACACGCGCATACCCAGGATGCAGCCAGTAGCAGCTCACAGGTACATATTTACCGCTAGGTGAACAGTTGCATTACGTGAAAGAAAGTACGACGCCGCGCGGGGAGGGGGGGGGGGGTGTTTTGTAAATAAAAAATCACACAAGATAAGCAAGTTCTAACCCCGTGAGAAATGGAAACTCGAAAATGTTTGAACGCTATCGTGTATGTTTTAATACATCACATGAAGCATGTTTCCCCTGTTTAAGTAGCCTTGACGCCACCACTGAGAAGCGCTGCAGGTTCGAACAAAAGAACGTGAACCTACATTGGTAGGGATTTACAGAATACCCTCGAATGATTTTTCCTGTCCTTTTCTCCAAGGCTGAGGGTTCCCGCTCCAAATATACCCAGTGGGCGCCATATTCATTAGCAAAAGTAATTTAAAAGTTGATTTTTTTAACCCTGATAATTGTGCCCATTGGGTATGTGGTGAAAGAAGTGAAAGAACTCGTAACTTCTAATGGGATGTACAAAGTGCTCAGTAACCAAAACATTCTGGCGATTGTATTTCGGACCAGATGCCCAGACATTTCATTTAATGATTCTTGATACTGAAATTATAAATTATATATCTAGGAAGAAATCATTTAAATTAATTTTTTTTTAACTCGTCCGCAGTTTACAGTCGTTCGAAATGCGGCCGTTCTTTAAAACGCGTTCCTCAATGTTGTCGCACTGTGTAAACATTATTTTGGGTACAATATAAATTCTCATCAGTTTAGAACAATTTTCTGTGTGTAGCAAACACTATAGTAGGTTATGTTAGGTGTTTTGGTGTATTAGTAATTAACTGTATTTGTAGTACATCGGGACGCATTTAAGGCTACGATACGAATATAGCAAGTGATCGAAACACTATTAGATTAGAAGCCTGATGATATTCGAACTTTTCTCGATTACTTCTCTCTCTTCCTGTGTTCGAATCACACCTCTGTAAACATTTACCCATGTAATGGGAATACAAATAATTTACAGCAGAATCAAAACACTTGCCCCTCGGCCTGTACACGGAATTATGATATATAATAATTAACATATGAAAAAAATATTGATTTTGAGTAAAGGGTTAGGCTAGGTATTTAGGTTCTGTTGGCAATTACTTGTATTTGTGGGAGAAAAGTAAGTCAAGTTGTGGTTTTACGAATTTGCCTCAATTTACCTGAGGGTAAATATTTACCCTTACTGAGGGTTTACATTTTTAGTGGCCTCAACAATGACAGCAAGCAGATGGCTTGTCAAAAGTCTTCCCTGAATTGTTTCTGTTCTCTAACACCCCACAGAAGAGGTCTTTCAAGCAGAATGAAAGTTCATTGCTAATTTTTATATTATATTTGACACACATATGGATGTCAATATGTTCTCCATAAGAGCATTATGTAAAAACTTTCATTGTTTAAGATGGTCATGCAGACTTCATAGTCTCCCACAGCGGTCATGCACACTAAGCTCTACACACCAACAACATCAATTTAAGAAATTTAACCAGAGATGTTTAGAGAGCTAGAGAAATATTTAGAGAGAGCAGAAAGGCACGAGAACGAGAGAGAGAGAGATTAAATAAAATTCTTTACTAATGAAAACAAATAAGATCATCAAATTAATGAATACTAGGGCCAGTCTTCAGATGAGCCTCTGTTAAATAACATCTCTCAGCCGGCAGTTTCATTAGGAACATCAACAACGTTCCTAATGAACTCTAGTCTAAGTTTACGCATTAAAAGTAGAGCAGAGATGATTTTTTCAAAATAAAAATGTTAACTTAGGGTTTACAGAAGAGGTAAGACAAGGAAGAGTAATGATAAAGCTCTCAGCCAGTATGACTATATAACACTTGGAAGTCAAAGAGCCTGGATACGAAAACTTAACTGACGATAACCAACCACTCGGACCATCGGGAATCGAACGTCGACCCTGCAAGTAGCAAGGGTTGCCACTCTACTGACCAGTTCAAGTGGATGGGTTTTGAAGAGAACATCAAAGGCTGACAACGTTGTAGAGAGACCAAGCTCAGTGCAGTTTAGTTGTAGGTAATGTCTTACCCGCCAAACACACACCGAAACTACGACGTTGGTACAACGTTCGAACAAGTTTTAACACCTCCTAACCAGTTATAACAACCAATATAGCAAGTTGTAACAACGTTCTAATACGTCATAAACACGTTAAGCCAAGATGTAACAACTTTATTACAAGTTGTAACAAGCGGAAAATGGAGATAGTTTCGGTTTGTGTTTCCAGGGTACCTACAAGGCTGATTCTCAGCTCCAAATAAAAGCCTCATCTTGGTGTTCCTCTATAACGTAGCTTTATGCTGCGATTCTTTACATACTACAAAACATAGTTTCGTAATGCTAAACAAAAATGTAGACTATCTGCATGGATGCTTTTTTTGAGTTAGCTGAATTCCAGATACAAAATGTAGTAAAAATGAAATAGTTTACATGATAATACAATTCATACTATACATAGAGAACTAGCGTTACATTGTTTAACGTATAATGAATGCAGAAGAAATGCTCATACAGTGAACTGTCACATCATATCAATGTCAGTAAAAATACACGTAAAATCATGCTAGCAGCTACGTGAAATGAATATAAGGCTACGAGTTGGATTCACTATGGGGGCTTACTGCCTTTCCTCGCCTTGCTTAAGAAAACTGATGCATGAAGCAGACCACAACCTCAGAGGTACATATAAAAGCTGTAGTGTGGCCACAGTACACAAACACACATCAATACTACAGTACACATGGCTACAGGCCTCCGCCTCGATTGCTTTAGCACCGAGATAACTACAGCGTGCAGTTTAGCCCGCTCAACACACCATTATTCGTTCTGTGATCTGATGTTTAAGATCCTCCAGCTTCTTCCGTCGCTTGTTGGCCGCCCTCTCCACGAAGTTGATACAGGCAAACTCCAGGACAGCCGCGAACACGAAGGCAAAGCACAGAATGACGAAGTAGTCGAGGGCGGTGGCGTAGGAGACAGCCGGCCAGGCAGATCGCCCGCCGAATCCTAGCGTAGTCATGGACAGCACGGTGGTCACACCTGGCCATACGAGAGAAAACGGCACACCATGAGGACGCGGACCACTGAAAAAGGAAAACTAAAGTAAATTCTCAATGGGGGACCCACCATATTGAATTCCATTATGGCAATTTCGGCTTCAGTTCGTTCGTCAAAAGCCTTCTTTGCGTCTTCCACTTGGATCCTCCTCCGCTTCGCCATCCGCTCGAAGAAGTTTATCATGGCGAACTCAACGATGGCACCGAAGACGTAGGCAAAGCACAGGAAGTTGAAGTAGTCCAGGGATGTTAGGTAAGACACTTGAGGCATCGAGGCGCGCCCTCCAATGCCCATCTTGGTCAGAGAAAGCACAGTAGTTGTACCTGATTTTAGAGAGGCATTTTCGTGAGGAGTTACATGAGGTTTTACCAGAGGAATGATGATCTCTATAATGCCACTCAGGTAGACGTTCATCTGTTTGTTGAAATATTCCATAAATGATTGCCTTAGCACTGAAAGGAATATCTTCTCGCATGAACAGACGATTCTTAATTAAACATTTCAATCTGATAAGACGTTTAAAAGAGAGCCAGATTAAGAAATAATAAGAAAACGGAAGACCAATATTAAATGCAAAAGGAATTTGACAAAAATTGAAACTTCAAATTCAGTAGAAAACGAACTTTAAGAAGAAATAAGAATGTCTCTGTAGTCACGGGTAAATCTTAGGATACTGACACTGAATTCGATTTTTAAACAATTAGTAAATATCATTAACTGGAATATAAATTTTCACGTTCCATTTAAATGCTTCATGACCAATAACCCATGAAGCCCAAGACGTTCTCATGATTGCCAATAAGCAGTCAAAAGTTTTTTCGTCGGTCTTTTAACTTACAGCTTCTATTACAGTGTCACAATCAAAATATATATAAATTCCAACTTTTGTAGCGGTAATCATTGAATGTGGAATAATTATTTTTTATATTAATTCAAGTTTTGTCACGGCGAGTTTTCACATGTAAACAAATCTATATGAACAAACTTTCACTTACGAAACTTTAGGCAACTATGTGATAACATTTTTAATGATGCCAGAATCACAATAAAATAAATTGTTCTTTTTTACAGGCACACAAATTACTGCAGATAAAGGATTTTATTATGGTAAGGGGGCTTTATAAAATAGGTGGTGGTTCATATAAAGGGAAGCGGTTCGTATAATAGGAGGAGATTCTATGAAATCTCAATGTTCTCAAATATGAATTTGAACACACTAAATAGTACTGCTTATATTTCTAAATATTACAAACAGAAAATGTGAATTGACGGAAATGTCAACATAAATAATGGCATGGAATATTTCAGTATGAAAAATATTGTAATATTATATTGATTAATAAGAAATGGTAATATCTTCTTTCAGGCATAATGCCATGGGGAAAAACTCACATACCTTTGTATTTGTGAAATTTATGTAAAGAAACTGCACCAAGTCTTTCGCACTCTACTAAGTGATTTGTCAAAATTTTAGTTTGTGATTAGGACGATACTTACATTTCAACGTCTAATCTAAAACTTATATAAATGAACATCTCAACGTTTATCTAATAAAGATAAACACCTCAACGTCTAATAAAGATTAGATCTTGAGATGTAAGTCCCGCCCTAACCACACACTCAGACCTTGACAAAGCACGCAGTAGAGTGCGAAAGATTTGTAACTTATTGACATAAATTTCAGAAATACACAAGTGTGGGTTTCATCTTATTATAATTGTTAAAAAAATTCTGGTAAGCTATTCTATAGCATTCTAATTAAATCAAGTATAAAAATCGATTTTTTCTTAACAATTCTTTATTCTTTCGGACTCCAATAATTTTTATACTTGAGTAATCCTTATTTTACAATAATATATATATATATATATATATATATATATATATATATATATATATATATATATATATATATATATATATATATATATATTGTAATATTATATTGATTAATAAGAAATGGTAATATCTTCTTTCAGGCATAATGCCATGGGGAAAAACTCACATACCTTTGTATTTGTGAAATTTATGTAAAGAAACTGCACCAAGTCTTTCGCACTTGGTGCGAAAGTCTTTCTGGTGTCTTTCGTCTTTTAACACAAATGCGAACAATTTGTTCGCATTTGTGTTCCTCACGTGTGCCCCAAAGAATGAGGTGATTTGGTAAAATGCTATGCCCAAGATAACTATCCGAGTGCCGGCGGTGGGGTGGTTCATATAGCCTCGGCTATCACCTCATTATGTCCGGTCGTGATGGTCAAGTGGATTAAGGCGTCTTGTACATACCAGTTGCGTGGCTTCTGGGAGTATGGGTTCGAGTCACTTCTGGGGTGTGAGTTTTCAGTTGCATATGTCCTGGGGACCATTCAGGCTTGTTCGCAATATATATATATATATGTATATATATACATATATATAACTGAAAACTCACACCCCAGAAGTGACTCGAACCCATACTCCCAGAAGCAACGCAACTGGTATGTACAAGACGCCTTAATCCACTTGACCATCACGACCGGACATAATGAGGTGATAGCCGAGGCTATTTGAACCACCCCACCGCCGGCACTCGGATAGTTATCTTGGGCATAGCATTTTACCAAATCACCTCATTCTTTGGGGCACACGTGAGGAACACAAATGCGAACAAGCCTGAATGGTCCCCAGGACAATATGCAACTGAAAACTCACACCCCAGAAGTGACTCGAACCCATACTCCCAGAAGCAACGCAACTGGTATGTACAAGACGCCTTAATTGACACAATCTTCAGCAACTCACCTAAACATACTCTGCCAGGGACGTCCTTTTTAGTGATCCAGAAGGCGACCCAGGAGCAGCAGACGATGAGGATGCAGGGAACGTAGACTTGCAGGAGAAAGAACCCCGTGAGCCGTTTGAGGTGGAACTTGACACTGAGCGTTGAGATGGTTTCTGCAGAACAAACAGGATGGAATGTTTTATATTCTGGGGTCGTGACAGAGTGAGAATTCCGATAGCTATCCTCCTTGAAGAGAGAGAGAGAGAGAGAGAGAGAGAGAGAGAGAGAGAGAGAGAGAGAGAGAGAGAGAGAGAGAGAGAGAGAGAGAGAGAGAGAGAGAGGGGGAGGGAGGAGAGAGAGATATGAAAGAGATAAAATTGAATCCGGATCAAATTTGGTAAAAAAACACCAAAAATATTGTATATTTAACTATGGTTTGTCATATGAACAAAACATTTTGAACATTATAAAAGGCTATTGGTCTCCTAAAGGGGGATTAAAACTTTAACAGCCTAATCTCTTAGGCCTTTAAGCAACCTTAAGCCTAATATATACAATCTTAGTCCTAATGTAGAACATATTTGAAGTATACTAGGCCTAGGAGAGATTAGATTTGGTTCCCTATCTAATCTAAGCTAATCTACAGTAACACTCAACTTACCTGGGCGTCTGTTTTCTATAAGGAATAGATAAATGTGAATACTTCTAGAAGTACAGCGTATATCTATCTTGAGTTTTACTAATATCCTCTATATTTTGTAGAATTTTGTATAGAAATAGTGTATTCCGCTTGTATAAGGAAGTAACTTTAGAAAATAAAACGAGGAATTTTCATACTGTGTACAAGAGTATTTTTACATTATAAGCCATTTGTTGTGCATTATTCTATAAAGAAAAATCTTCCTTCCGAATGAGAAAATCTTAAGTCCTCCATCTTACCTTTTCTTCTGACTACGACGTTAGTGAAGTTAGTGGTGATGTTGAAGAGCTCGTACTGAGCGATGCTCACGTCAGGGTCGACCGTGACCTTTTCCGGAGACCAGCGGTACACCATGTCCTCAGCGTTGTACCCGTCTGTAGCGGAGAGTACAGCATTAGTGTTATAGTTCAGGGGCCAGATTCACGAAGCAGTTACACAAGCACTTACGAACATGGACATCTTTTCTCAATCTTTGGCGGCTTTGTTTACAAATATTAAACAGCTAATGAACTGCGAAGCACCAGGAAGCTGTTTATAACAATAACAACAGTTGATTGGGAAGTTTTCTTGCTTGTAAACTGTTTAATAAATGTAACCAAAGCCGTCAAAGATTGAGGAAAGATGTACATGTTCGTAAGTGCTTGCGTAACTGCTTCGTGAATCTGGCCCCAGCTCCTGATACCCAACAGGCGCACCATAGGTAAATTTCAGTGAATAAATGAATAACTACTGCTGGATCAGTCTTAGGCACATATTATTTACCAAACAGAGAAAGAGAGAGACATAGAAAGAACGAGGCGATTAGACAAAAACAGGAAGATAAAAAATATATACAGAAAGAGACGAAAAGAGAGAAACAGACAGGTAGAAAATAACAGAAAACGAGAGAGTGGTGGATATGTGATCTGTACTCCTAATGCCACGCATCTCAGGTTCTTCTCTACATCAAGGTACTAAAACATGAGGAAAGTGATGGTGCAGCCGGCCCTGAGGCCGGCTGGTACTCACACGAGGCCAGACTGAGGGGACAGATCTGGGTGTCGAGGGGAAACTTGCGAAGGTGCATCTTGCAGCTGGCTCGGACTGTGAGTCTTCACGTCCAGGGAGAAACAATGTTGTTAGTCACAGAATTCCTTGTGAGAGAAAGTGTGTGTGTGGAATATATATGTAAATTTATATTACATTTGTTAAAATCTGACCACATCGTCACTCCCACCCGCCCACCTGTCTTGTTAACACACACCCGTCCAATAGCACCCACACGTTCTGTCAACACCCCCAACCCCCTGCCCTGTTGATACCCTCTCGGCCCGTCAGTTCGTACATGTCAATGTTTGCCACGACGCCAAGCTAATCAACTATCTACGGGCTCACCATAGCCCGTGTTACTTGGAACTTTTTGTTCCAGGTAGCGAATCATTAACAACAACAACAACAGCCAAGCTAACAACAACCGAGAAGGGCTGCAGAGAGTTACAGGATGACCTTGACAATCTTCACCTGTGGGCAAACTAATGGTTGTTAGAATCATATCCCAACAAGTGGAAGGAAATGAAGGGGAGAAAAAGAAATCAGAGGTCAGGTGATATCTGCTCCACAGGGAAGACCAAATACAGACACAGAGGTAGTAGGCTTACGGGCTCATCATAACCTGTGCTACATGGAAGTTTTAGTCCTGAGTTGCTAAATCTAAAATAACAACAGAGGTAATAGATATAAATTCAACATCAACGCCAGCTTATTAAGAAATCAAAATATGGTCTTTTTCAAGGCAGCCAACAGAGCCTTTGTTAGATCAACACTAATATGCAGCACTGGCCTGGAATCCGCATCTTTGTAAACACAAAGCAGCCTGGACTTGTGCTACACTAGATATATGTGCTAGACTTATTTACCTCGTACTCCCTTATTAAATCTACTCCCTGTTAGGTACTACTGGGTAAAATAAGTCACTGTCATGAAGCCCACATACTCTGTCCAGCAAGTTCAAGTTCAAGTATGTTTATTGAGACAAGAAAAAATACATCTCAAAGGGATAGAGTAGCTTAGGCTATTTCTACCCCCCCCCCCCAACCCCTCTGTCCATCACCACACACCCATCCACACATTCCCATGTGCGTGGACAGTAATTTACAATAACGTGGCTGAAGATATGATAACCAAACCACACATCAGAAGATATGATAAAAACACATCAGAAGATGTGACGTGATAACGGTCCAAGACGGACCGAAACGTTATCGTTTCTCCATTTTCTGATGTGTGCTTTGATCGTCAAGTCCTTGTTTGCCTTGTTAACATTTACCAACCCACCTAATCCACTGTTGTCAATGTTTACCTTTAAAAACAAAAAAAATAAATGATCTTGTTTCCAGTAAACAGCTTATAATCGTAGATGCGTTGAAACACAGAGCGACCAAAACACTCCTCTCTTAAACACACTCATTATCCTCGTTCGTTTATTAACCGTCATGTCATTATCATTCATTATCTTTCACTTTATCCGATTGACGTTCGTTCTTCTCATTCCGTCCCATCCTTCAAGACTTAACTTTATTTTAGCTTCCCCATCTCATCCAATTCCTCACACTGTTTTCTTCCAATCCTCTCGCCATTCTCTCTCAACGTTCTCCACCCACCCACCCCTCTCTCTCTCTCTCTCTCTCTCTCTCTCTCTCTCTCTCTCTCTCTCTCTCTCTCTCTCTCTCTCTCTCTCTCTCTCTCCTCACCTTAAGGACCAGGTGATCTGACCATCGAACTGCAGGCGGATAAAGGTGTTGGGAGCGGTGATCTTGTGGACGTAGGAGTTCTTGCCGTTGATAAAGAAGGTGTCAGGCTTCCAGAGCTTGGCAGCGAACATCCAGTTCATGGAGAACACAGACTTGCCCAGGTCAGTCTTGTTGAAGCGGAGACGAGGATCAAACCACTTTTGCCGGAGGTAGAGTTGCATAGCGTATGACTAGGGGGGAGGAGGGGAGAAAGAACTCTCAGGTAACATCACCATAGATTCATATATGTTGTAGAACTACTTAAAACACCCGTTAGATTCATAAACGTTGCAGAATATATGAAGACTCATCAATTTTTATCAAATTCACGAAAGTTGCCGAAATACACAATTAGGGAAAACATACTTTTCATTCACTTGGATCATCGCAGATTCGAACTCGGTCCTCAAACGTACGAGTGTGTGTTGGTTTGTCACCCACACAATGCATGCTTACAATTAGAAGGGATCTCAAAAGTACCCAACAGATATCCAAGTGAATAAGATGTTATTAACCACGCTGTTGAGGAATGCACCTTAATTACGATTTTTGTTAACAGTGTTGCTTATCTTTGTTCAATAAGTTGAAATAAACTCGACATCAAAAACATTATTGAACCAATGTTTGTGCCTGGTTCTGGCGTCTCTAACTCGGCTTACTACCTCTGGAACAGAAGACACACTTCCATGCAAGAATCATTAATAAGGCGACTCTTGCTTTCCTGCAATGTTTACTTTAAAACATTGAGAGATGGTAAGATTACTGAGGCACTTGTAATTTCATAAGTTTTGTCTGCAAACATTAATCTGGTTGAAAATGCCTATGTTTAAGGTAATTGACTTCTTCAGTATAATGAGATTCATTTTGATGCAAAATAATTATAAAACAAAGATACGAGATATCTCCAGTCTGTGTACTTTATCACTTTTCTAATACAGCTAAAACTAGTGATTATTCCGTATTAAGAATGTATGCACCCAACTACATTGCTACAGGAGCCTGTACACCAACCCGTCCTCTTAAAAATAACGTCACTTTTCGGTGGTATGCGCACTATGGCCAAATTTGGACGTAATTTGAAATGAAATCGACTCACAAAAGTGACGTATTGTTCCGTTTTCTGTTTGAGTCGTCCGGCTTACTCTGCAAGGTTAAAACAGGCAACTTTCCATTAACGTTTTTCATACCATTTTGAAACTTTATGCGAATTTCCTGCCCACCTAGCCTATCAGAGGATCCTTAACTTACTGTTGTTGAAAAAAAAATTCCAAATCTATTTTCATTTTTTTTTTCATTTTCAAATTACGTCCATATTCGGCCATACGGGCAAACGGCCAAAAACGACGTTATTTTTAAGAGGACAGGTTGTAGAGACTGGATCAAAGAACCAGAAGCTCAACCTCCGCAACCACAATTAAACGAGAACAAATACGTTTGTTCTCGCTTTGTTCCTTCATCATAGGTGAGTACTTGTTTGTTGTATTCACCAATGTTGTGGAATAATTGCTGCCGTCATGGGTATTTTATTCATAGTAGTCAGTGCTGCCACTAAGAGAAATTAAAAGTGCTCAAACGTGCTCTAAAACAGCTTCACAAATCTCAGGCTTCATACAAGCAATACGAAAACCTTACAAAACCTGGAATACAATAACAAAGAGTCAATAGACTTATCAGAAGCAATGAAGCCAGTACCACTCATAAAAATCCTTATAAGAGCATATTGACACATCTTCCATTGACAGAAGCTCCAAAATCCCTCACTGACCTTATTCCTCCGACTAGATTGTGTCTTTTGGATTCATAACTCTCAACTATACAACAGACCATAACTTACAATTAACACACATAATATGACAGGAAAACTTAATTCAAGAACACTTACTGAACACCCAAGGTAGTTATTAAAAGGCTTTGTTCCCTTTAGCTAAGCTCCATATTTGTTAGTAAGAGGCATGCCACTAAGATTTTTTTACATCGTTTTATTCTGGAGCTGTGGGAGATCAATAGTAGCTAGTTGTCATGATCAAACTATAGTCTATTGACTCTTTTAACAAACTTTCGCAAAATTATTTGTAATTTTTTGGCATTTTAATTAACAAAATGTATAGAAACATTTGCTTAATCAAAGCAATTTTGCTAGATTTTTTCAATAGGGATGCTGCTTATAGTCACTACCACAAAAAATAGTGAAGATGCTGCTAATGCCATTGCCTCACACGACAGTGAGGATGCTGGTCATATTCACTGCTCCCAATCACCCTCTGTTCCCATTCTATCATCTCCCTTTTCCTATCCGACCCCTTCCTTCTTTTTTTTTCTCTCTCTCTCTCTCTCACTCCCCTCTCATCTCCCTCTATTTTTCCCTCTTCTATTTTATCTCCCATTTTCTCTTCTATCTCTGTCTCAGAAGACGAAATACTGAATTTAAGTTCATCGTTTTCAAGTCCCGGCTGCTCCGGTGTCTGCCTCTCCCTCCCCCCTGACCCGCTCTCACTTCCCCTCTCCCATCTTCCCTCCTTTATCATATCTCTTTCTTTATTACCCCTCTTCTCCCCTTCTTTGCTCTCACCCAAGATTCTCGCTGTCTTCCCCTCCCCTTCTACCTCTCTCCGCTCTCTTAGCAAATGTAATACAGAATTTACAGCATCGTTTTCTAGTTAAGTCATCTAGGGACTCTCTCAGCCACCTTTCACTAGTTAAGTGGATAAAGGGGGGTCATTATGGCATGACCCCCTTCTTAATAGGCCTGACCCCTAACAGCTCATGGCTGTTCCGTACCTCAGACCATTCACCCTGCAAAGTTGGGTGAGCCTAGCCCCAAGCGTCTGGCTTCCCACCTCATACAAACATTCCTCTTCACCTCTTCCCCCACTTATCCTGATTCTCAGTCCCCCCTCATGACCCCACTCTTCACTAAACTACATTATTCTCCAACATCCCTTCCACCCCCCCCCCCCCGTCCCCTTCTTCCCATTATCTCAGAAATATTTTATGAAGCACTGAAGCTACTCTTTGAGGAACTGCCAATATTTCAGGTTTGACTTTATGAACATTGCTTGGGGGGTCTCAATAAATGCAATTGTTTCTTGAAATAGTTCACTTGGGCCGACCGCGACTGGACTATGACCCTCTCCTACCCTACATGCCTCAAGAATGAAAGTTGGGCGAGGCTTGCCCGAAGCGTTAATCCTTGGACACAAAAACAAATATATCCTCTTAAAGACATAAATTATATATATACAAGACAAAATTATTGGCTGTTGTGGAATTTACAGAAAAAGTGTATGAAGTATTCCCAAACGTCAGTGCAAGTGTAAATTGGCTGTTAATAAAGAATACTCCATGTTTACAGTTCCTTAATACTGGTTCCTAACAGGCTGAGTCGACTACAAGGAGGAGCATGACTGAGCATGCTTGTGTGTGCTTCGGTGAGGCTGCAGCATATATGCTCATTAGCACGAGTGTGTACACACACACACACACACACGTGCTTGTGAACGCGAGTGTATACGTTTAGCCTACAAAGAAATACTCAGCTTCAGAGCAGTGTACAGGTCTTCACTAGATTTTGAACAGATGAGGCTTCTCGGCCGTCTTCATATGACCTACTTTCTCCTCTTCCTATTTTTTCTACTCCCCTTCCTTTTCCCTTCCATGTTGCCCTTCCTACCCTGCCTTCTTCGTTGCTCAGTCTACCTCACTATTTCCTATCATTCCTCTATCTCCGGCCAATACTCTAAGGAATCTTGTAAGCCGTTTTCACATCTCATTTATTCCTTTCCTAAATGCACTTAAACCAGTTTTCATGAGCATTTACTCATAGTACAGCCCTCATGCCTATGAACAGATAGACAAATAATTCCATTGACAGTGTAACATGGTCATTGGAAGCTACATTAACACAGATTAATAGGCCTTCTAACCATTGGGTTGTGCTGAGTTACCGAAGTTATCAAAGTCCTTCAATATACTGTTTTAAATGTGAATCACTGTATTAAACTAACGATGGCCGAAACGCGGGGTTGCAAATCCAAATAGGTGAACACACACACATACACGAGATACAATGGGCAGAGTTTCTTTCACCCTATGCCCTTGTTACCTAGCAGTAAAATAGGTACCTGTGTGTTAGTCAGCTGTCACGGGCTGCTTCCTAGGGGTGGAGGCCTGGTAGAGGACCGGGCTACGGGGACACTAAAGCCCTGAAATCATCTCAAAATAACCTCAAGAAGAAGATACACACGGATGTTGAATTGATGGTTGAGAGGCGGGACCAAAGAGCCAGAGCTCAATCCCCACAAGCACAATTAGGTGAGTACATGCGTGCACACATGCACACATTTTTATATTCTGAGTTGATAAAAGAATGCATTGTGTTCCTTTAATGATTTTTGTTGTAGGTATACTAGCACATTTTAACATGTCCTGGTGTGTGGTGTCAGGAGAGGGGGAGGGGGGGGGGGGCGAGCCAGGCCCAGCAAACACACACAGTCAATATACATTTTAACTTTTCTTCTCGCAGCTTTGTTGTAAAGTTGTGGTCATTATAAATTGTTGTGTAAAGTTTTGGGACGTTTTATAATGTACACTTTTTAAATTTTTCTGTCTAAAGAATAGCGCGCACGAGTTGGATAAATGAGCCATTCAAAAGAACTTGCATTTTCCGTTCCATATTAATTCAATTCTACATTTATCATTTTATATTGTGTGTATAATATATGCAAATAATAATAATAATAATAATAATAATAATAATAATATATATATATATATATATATATATATATATATATATATATATATATATATATATATATATATATTGTATTTACTATCTTCTGGTTTAGGGCTTCTATCCCTCTATTTTCCTAGCATCAGGGCTTAGCTCAAAGAGGAGTTCTCCAAAACTCATTTTCGTTATTTCAAGGTGAAGAAAAAAGTGATTTTAAGAGGTCTCGTTGGTCCTGGGTAAGATCATAAGAAGTCAGGTTAATGTTGCCATCTTTAGGACGAGGGATCTTTAACTGTCTTTTGTGGGAAATTTTTACCCACCATATCTAATTATCAACTAAGAAATGTATAATTTCTGTATCATATCAAAATCATATCTAAAATCATATCAGAATCATTATAGATTCATTATACAGTTTGATCCTAGAAGATAATGCCACTTGGATCCCGTATGACATAG